AAGGTATGGCGACTTCAATAAATGTGACGACTGTGAATGGAACTTGTACTTGAAAATGTCCGGAAGTAAATTTAGAGGTATTTTCATTAGATGAACGGGGTTCTATAAAGGTCAACAAGGCTTATACTACCAAGAAACTCCCGATCGATTATGCAGAACTTTTAACCGAACTCCAGCTGAGAAGGTGGAAACATTTAAAGGACATAACCCTACCGAGGTTGCAAACTAATTGTGTAGGAATATTGATTGTGTGTGATGCTCCAGATGCACATTGGGTCCTTGAACAACGCCTGAGATACAGGAAAGATTATATAATCATGATTTCGAGGATGCAGATGGGTTTCGTAATGGATATTCTGTCGAACATAAAAGAACTCTGTAAATAGTCAATGGTTCCTTTAGACTGGAAGGTGGCCATTTCCAAGTTGGTCTATCCTGGAAGTATGATAAGCCAAGGCTACCGAATAATTTGGAACTAGCTGAACAACGGAGCTGACAACATCACAGAAGTTTAATACGCCCTTTCTTCGGGATACTGCAAAGCTCAACGAATTCAGGATATCCCTCACCAATAGGTTTCAGGCCTTGCACGATATACTCAATGGAGAGGACGAAACATTGGAGAACAATTGGAAAAGTATTAGGGAGGCTATCACTTCTATATATCACGAAGTTCTGGGTCACGGGAAGTACCATCATAAAGAAATGGATCTCTGTTGATACTCTGTTGATACCATGGATGATGTTCGAACCAGAAGAGGATCCGATATAGCCCCGGATCACCATTTGCTGATCGGTCAAATGAAACTGAAACTAAAGAAGCACTGGACAACGGGGCAGACAACATCCCAGCAGATTAATACGGCTGTTAAGGGAGAAATGAAGGCATTTGACTGATTAAAACCTTTATATAAATATCATTAATTTCACTGTGTTTTCGGGTATATTTGTTTTACTTAACTTATGAACTCGTTTGATTTATTATTTTCGGACATTTTGGTTTTTGTTTGTCTTGGTTTGGTCAATTGGGGTTTTTGCTCCAGGAACCTATACAATTGAAGGTATTTGAAGTTATTATAATTATCGTTGTTAGAACGACATTTTGGTCAACCATTTGTGAATTGGGAATAAACTTTGATACCTAGCTTTGGAGTATGGTTCTGTTGTTAATTCGGGTTCGTAAATTGCAAACTGATCGACATACTCTACTTCAATAACGGGAAGGAGCAAAAGTTGAACGTAACAAAAGTTCTTCAATTTTAATTCTCTTGTCATACATTGGATACGTCTTGACATTTTGGGTCCAGTTTTTGGTTTTATTGGCCGAATTCGTTTGGATTATTTCATATTTGCTTGGTAATGGATTTTCAAACAAAGGCATACAATGGAAACCAGAAGCAAAAGGTCGAAGGCAAATGACGAAATGGATAGCAAAGATTCTAAAGCTGTCTGTAGTATGTCTGTTTTTAATGATAATAAATGTTAAGATATTAGTGTTAATAGTAAGTCCTCAGCTCAGTTTAGTACTTCTAGATTGAGGTTCGATAAGGCATTACTAAAGAAGAAGAATTTGGGAAGGAGACTTGAGTTAGAAAGGCAGCTGAAATTGTTAGATCTTGAAGAGGAGGTTGATATGGCCGAATTAGAATGTAAGGTCATAGAAAACGATAACCGACTGTCAGCAGACAAATCTGAGATAAATGCTAAGGTGGAAAGGTACTTGGATTGTGATTTCGCGTGTGATAAGCATTCCGTGGAGGTATTTAACACCTCAAATTGCGATTGTATTGATGAATTAAAGGATACGTTACGTACTACGGTTGATAATGCGGTTTTGCCTAAGATCGATATGATGTTTTTTGACGGACAACCAAGCCAGTACCGCCGTTTTATTAGTCAGTTTACAAGCACTATAGAGAGTAAACTGTCTGACAAGTGCCAGTTGTTGTCATATTTGTCACACAATTGTAAAGGAAAGGCCAGAATGGCTATTGAAGCTTGTATTTCAATGCCCAGTCACTTGGGTTGCGATAGAGCTAAACAAATTTTGTATGATCCATCTGGTTAAGAACATCTTGTCGCTTGTATTCATATTACTAAATTACTTGACCAAAAATCTGTTGAAGGATCCGCCGATGGCCTAACTGACTTCGCAATTAAGCTACGTAATGTATGCATAACATAACAACAAGATTTGGAATAAGGAACAGGTACTATCAGATTTTAAACGAGGATACCTAATCCAAATATCAAATAAAGGTGATCTTAGCAAGAGTGAGAACTACAGATGAATATCTTTTGTCTCAGTACCAACATCGAGACTAACAGGCTGGATTTCTCAAGAATCGATGCTGTACAGATCAAACTGCAAACTTCCGGATCATTGTGGAACAAACCATTGAATGTAATTAACCGTTCTACATCAACTTCATCGAATACGAGAAAGCATTCTGTAACATTAACAGGAAAACACCATGGAGGCTTCTTCAACACTATGGCGTGCTTGAGAAGATATTCAATATCACGCGGAATACTAATGATGGGTTAGGTGAGAGCTCGTTCAAGGTGAAGACTGCTGTCAGACAAGGTTGCCTACCCTTTCTCATTCTCCTGATGGTCGAGTGGATTATGAAGATGTTAACATCTGGAGTGAAGTACGTTATCAAATTGATAGCTAGTACGCAGCTGGACGATCTGGACTTCGCAGATGAAGTGCCTCTTCTATCGCACACGCAACGAAAAATGCAAGAGAAGACAATCAGTGTGGGAGCAGCTTCCGCAGCAGTAGGTCTCAATATACATTAGGGAAAAGTAGGATTCTACGATACAACACAACATGCGACAACCAAATGACTCTTGATTGACATTCTTTAAAGTTTGTTAACACCTTTACATATATTGCCAGCATCATCGACAACAAAGTTCGATCCGATGCAGAAGTGAGGGCGCCGATAGGCAAAGCAATAGCTACAATCGGAAAATATCTGGAACCTCAAACAAATATCACTTAACTCCAAAATAAGGGATTTCATTGCAAATGTCGAGACAGATCGATTGTGTCGAGTGAAAAAGTTGAGAATTATCAAAGCCATCATCCAGAAAATACAAGTATATGAACAGTAGTCTAAGTAAAATACTTCGGATTCGTTGGCCAGACAATATCAGCAACAAATAACTGGGGGAGAGAACAAACCAGATTCCAGTGAACGAGGAAATCAGAAAGAAGCGATGGAAGTGGATAGGACTCACACACTGCTAAATTCACTCAACTGCTTCACAAGACAAGCACGCATATGGAACCCTCGAGGTCAAAGGAAGAGAGGAAGGCCAAAGAACACATTATGCCGAGAAATAGGGAAACACTTGAGAAGAATGAACAAAATCTGGAAAGAATGAGTACGGTTAGCCTAGAACAGAGTTGGTTGGAGAAAACTTGTGAGCGGCCCATGCTTCACTGGGGTAACAGGCTTAAGCAAAGTAGTAAATAAGGTAAAGGCTAATAATGGTCTACATAATTTATATAACATAACTAACATGAAATGTGGAAACTGTCAGAACTTTAATAATTTTAAATCTTCGTAAAATCCAAATATCATATCTAATTATATATGGTATTGTTCAGATTTATTTATTAATCAGAGTAGTTTGGTATGGTCGATGATAATAATATATATATATATATATATATATATGTGCACACAGAAAGGAGATAAATTGTATTAATATTTAAATTCACACCTACTTCAGAGCAAAAGGTGTCTTTTGCTATACTATTTATCAGATAGAGTCACACACAAATTTAACTGTATCGCAGTTTCACATTTATTGTTGAAATTCAGAGTTACCTTTATTGTATATAATTGAATGCTTGAATAAGTCTTCTGAGTATCTATTGGTGTAATGCCTTTAGGAAACCTATGTATCCTAGGCATCTGAATACACTAAATCATGGTTTTTCAAATGTGGTGCAAAAAGGCGACGTTGAACAAAAAAGCTTATTATTGCAAATAGTTCTCTGTTGAGAGTCTTATTTATTTTTACGTGTACGGAAGTGTGAATATTGAAGGACGGCTCTCAAACATATCCTCATTTTTGTCGCGACGCGCTGTACTTAACTGTGCGAGTTTGAAGAAAGGGGATCAATTTAGCATCTTATATCTTCAGCCAGAATTCCTTTTCAATCTTCCACTCAAATAATACATGTCTTTGTTTTTCTGCATTGACTTTCGACAGAGTTTAGATGGAAAAAATAAAATGAGTATTTACTAGGCAGAGTTATTCGGGTGATTTGGGCAAATTATATCGTATATCTGGTCTCATGCATTCATTACGTCATCAGTTATTATACACCGACATGCATGATTCATCGGAAAATCTCTTATTACTTCGCGATGCGCTAGTTCCACTGTGTTCTGCCCTAGCTCTTTTGCTAGTTTAAAATCGAATCCAAAGAGGATTTGACTTCCGCCAATCTGACGTATGCTGCTGAATTAAGGTCAACTGCTTACTTTTTGACAGAATTTCCGAATAGGTGTAGTTAACGCCTCCGTCAATTGTAATTGGGTTTATTCAGCCAAACGTTCTCACCACTTATAAAACTTTTCATGATTATCTCTTTATAACACAAGATCTAGTGAGCTGCATCGGTTTTAATCACACTCGAATGTTGGTTCATCATTGAACACCGTTATTTTAAGAGAGATGCACATTGGACTAAGCCTTCACAATACTTATGTTAAGCAAAATAAGGAGAGAGAGAGTCAGCACTCTGAAAGTGGTATGACACATGAGAATCGGATGAGATATGAGTGAAATATGCTTGTTTCAACTACTAAAGCGTCAATATTGTGAACGGATCAGCCGTAATCCGGAACAGTCTGATTTCTGCCTGCACAATGTCACGATTGAAGCAAACATTCACCGCTGAAAACAACATCTGTATAAACGTCCAGTATCAAAAGTCTATGAATTTTCTAATTAAAAGAGCAAAGATGTTCTCAGTTTATAATGAACAATTAGTTTATTTTTATTTTAAGACATTAATTAATGTTAAATATCGCAAAAATAGCAAACACAAAATATAACAAAAATATAATGAAAAGAAAAGTATTTGTTTATCAGTATTGCTGAAGTTTTATCCCATTTAATTTGAGTATTACCTGAAATCAAACAAAAAATCATGCAATCCGAAATAATGTAGTATAGAAAAATGTTACAGATCATGAATAACTTATGATGAATAAAATGGCAACAAAAGTATATGTGTGAGCGCATTGTCCACGATATGAACTTTGTATCCATTCATCAAGATAAAAAATGTTGTTCAAATGTATGAAGCAATAAAATGAAAAACAATGATATTGTTTACGAATGCCTATCTTTGAAAATTTGATACAGTAGTGTTGAGTAATTTGTGCATAGGTTTGTTGATACAACTTCCTGAATAAAAAAACAAATCCACACTTTCTTCGTTCATGCAATGTAAATTACCTGATTACTTCTCTTTCTTCATTTCTTCAACTATTTCGAAAAGTAGTTGATATTCAACTGTGGACACAGAAAAACAAATTGTGAATAGTGTGAACATTCATTGTGGGTTTATAGTCTGGTTCGATCTGTAAAATTTGAACCATTAATCAGGTGAAATCATCAATCAATAAAATAATTATGTTGCTGCAGCAAAATTATTTAATGCTCAAAACTTTAAATTTGAATTTTTGCACTGAAAATTACAGTTTTATACATATATATAAATAACTTGTTTATTATTTATGAACAGCAGTCTTAGCAAAATACTTCGGATTCGTTGGCCAGACACTATCAGCAACACTTAACTGTGGGAGAGAACAAACCAGATTTCAGTGAACGAGGAAATCAGAAAGAAGCGGTGGAAGTGGATAGGACTCACACACTGCTAAATTCACTCAACTACTTCACAAGACAAGCACGCATATGGAACCCTCAAGGTCAAAGGAAGAGAGGAAGACCAAAGAACACATTACGCCTAGAAATGGAGAAACGCGTGAGAAGAATGAACAAAATCTGGAAAGAACGGGAAAGGTAAGCCTAGAACAGAGTTGGTTGAAGAAAACTGGTGAGTGGTCTATGCTCCATTGGGGCTTAGATGTGTACGTTATAATTATGCTTGTAAGTAAGGAAATCATAAAGTTTTTCGCATAATGTCATTACTTACCCAACATTGAATTATAGTTAAAAATTGAATCTTCTTTTGCGTATATTGTGTCCAGAAACGCTTCATTTATACCTGTAAAATTTAGGTGATTCTTTATTATGCAATTGAAAATGTTTCATAATTGTTCCAAAAATCACAATATTTTCTATTGTGAATTAAACAATCTGATTCTCATAAAAATTCTATACGATAAAGTTATTTTCGTAACTGCCGGATTGAATACTATTTCACAATTCCCAATTTTTTTTCACTTGATGTGATATTTTGTCATATGTTATACAAATTTTACTTTGTTTTCTTTTCATTATTTTAAAATAAGAGGTCATTCCGATGTTGAAATTGTTAAACAGTTATTTCCAATAATAAATATTCAGAATAAATAAAGTTTCTATGTATGATGAAATTGATAGATTTTCAGAAAAATATTGGATCAAGAACAATTATTTAATAGAATATTCAAAGACTGCATATTTTTTGTAATTGAATTCGTTTTTAATGATTCACGAATATGTGAAACAAACATATTTGTAGATATCGAATGAAATGATTTATCCGCGATTACCTGGAACATTCTTCGGTGCTAGATCTTTACAAACCTTCTGTGTGTAAATTTTTATCTTTTCTGTATAAAAATGAAAATTTAGGTTAGAATGTTATGAATGCTGCATGTTGATTGAAACGTTCTATTTCATTAAAACGCGAAAAACAAGCCTTGGGTAAAACGAACAGTTACTTGATTGTATCAAATGAAAATCTTGCTGTCTTTTGACTGGATAAGACGTTTACGTGAGTACCTCAGGTATACCTGAATATCAGTCATAATGCGTTATCGTTAGCTAGCTGCGTCATCAATCACCAATAATAACAGGAAGACTGATTATCACACCAGAAAAAAGTATTGTTTTCTTATGTTATTCTTAATTAAATACTAGGACATAATACCTGAGACTAAATTTCATGTGAATGCTTAGCTACTGAAATACCATATAAGTTTAATTGATTTCGGTAGACAAAAAGTTTTAAAATTTTGTGAGTTTTATAAATCAAAATATATTCTTGCTTTTCTTATTCACAAATCATACCTTTCATATTCTGATCTCTTTTCTTGACGCAAGTTGTCCATCTTCTAAGTTTCTTAAGGTCTATTTCTACGTGATGAGAATGAGTGTAGAAGAAAATTGTATAAAGGCTACGTGATAAAAAAACAAATATATATATATATATATATATATATATATTAGTAAATCAATATTTTCAACGAATATTATATGTCCAGAAATTATGTTTGTTGTGTGTAAAGATGTTTGCTGAAATGAAATACGAAATTGGTGGAAGATAACATAGTATAGATATCACATAGGACACACAAGAGCTTACCATTGTATTTTCTAATATATCCATTCACCGAATCAATAATATCTACGTGAATAAGATGATACAAAGATGTTAATGAAAATGAAATAAAACAGAAATAGAATATTTCTGTCTGAGAGTTATTCATAATTCAGATTACATTATCATTCCTGTAAAGAAATGTTTAGTTGACTGCTGACGATGGTGTTCTGAAACAGAAATGCTTGTCAAATCAGTGACTTATTCAGAGTAACTTGAGAATATTTTATCGATTCACAGTTCAACATCCATATGTACATCAATTTTTATTTGGAAATGTACCAAATATACAAATTTATATATCACTCATGGTGGAGCAGAGTCCAAAAATTCAATTTCTTATCGCATCAACATGTTTACACAAATGAATGATAAAACAATATTTCCGAATTGTTCAAAAAATATCGATACTTTGAACTATTTTTTGGATGTCTGTAATGATATTCTAACGGTTATTAAGTAATTCTCATTTCAGAATGAATGTCAAAACGCAATGTGACTAGCCCTGATAAAAATGTTAATATTATTTTTAATAGTAAAAGCAAATTACTACTACTGAACCAAAGTTTAACGCATGGACGTGAAAACAGTAAGTGTAACTGTCGAAACCAACCTTCAGATTGTTGGTTGAGTTCAATTGCTTTCCTTTGACTTACACAAATAATATCTACAATAATATACATATATATATATATATTTATCTATAATTATATCTATATATCAATAGTATCTACGATTAAATAATTGAGAAATGGTCAAACATACATTCGTCAACGCTTTTGCCTACATTTTTCAGTTTTTCATTGATATCATCTAGTTCAAAATGCCAAGGAAGAACAACATTATATAGGGTAAGTCTTTTATATTTCTATAAACAAAAACAAGTCGAAGAATCGGATGATTTTGAACTTCAATTCAAGCCATTATCACTGTTATTAGTCCGTATCATTCACATCCAATCAAATATTTACGAAATCAAGAGCCTTTATAATTTTGTACCGAAAGCTGTTGTAAATGAACAATTCATTAGGTAACTAAAATCCATGCTTATCAGATGCCAAATTTCATATTTATATAACTCAATTCATTTAGCAAATGAAACAAAACAAAATTCTGCTTTAGAAATAAACGAATGTCAGCATTATTTAGCTGAACTGAATTTCGAAAGCTAATCAGTGAGAAGAGAAAACACTGCATAACAGTCTCGTGTCACTATGATGCTCATCATCTCGATACATCCTTGATGTCTCTATTTGCGAAGTAAAGTATGGTCTTTAAATACAGCCGCAGTCAGCTAACCTAAAATCTGAATTTACGTTCAAAGAAATTCTGTCAGCTCAATTATATTCTAAAAATTTAAGATTGATCGCTTATTGAACACTGTCAAATAAAATCAGTCATATTCGATGACTCATGATAACTTTGTTTATCCATACAATTGGGTAATTCCATTCAGACTGTGAAAAAGCTTCCAGCTATACTTTGAATTTCAGTTATTGTATAGCATAAATAGCTTTGTGACGCAAACCACAAATCAACTGTCAGTTGAAAGGTCACTACTAATCCATCGTCAAAGATGAATACCAGCTTCACCTTATTTCAAAGATACGCAACTATGCTTTACATGATAAACAGGTTTTGTAGTTATTACTGTTAAAATGTTGTGTGCTATATAGTGTTTTTGGAATATATATATGTAGACTTGATGGAGATAATTTAGCTATAAGATTACCTTTCTTTTGATTCAAATTATTTGTTGCGTTTTTTATAACTTCCTCTCCTTCTTTGAGTAGTGCTTTAAATAATATGAACTAATTAGAAAGACTAGTATATTTTACAAACATTTAAGTGAAATAAGAGCAGCTTGTCGGAAAATGTATATTTTTTTACGACAACAACGCTGTATAGAATATCATCAAAACAATTAAATGAATAAAATTTAAAAAGTAGTCTCCCACTGAACTTAGCTAAGACAGTTGATGTGTTAACAAATTCAATTAACATCTCATGTTGCAGTGAAAGAGAGACGTTTTTGTGCATTTTAATGTTAAGATTATGACAAGGTTAGGATTATTAGGCGTGCCTAACTCTGGTAAGTTATTTAAAGTCGTCGGTTTCATTATATAAATGGATATTTTGCAGAAATTATAGACTATAACATGCCTAAGTTTAATAGGAGAATGAAGTAAATATAACAAAAGTAGGGGCTTAAATTGAAGTCGAAAGGAATATTCATACTCTTACATAGTGCAATAAGTTTAAAGGAATTTATTAAGAAGGGTTTATGATGAACATATCTATTATTGGAAAAAATAATTGATTTAGGAATTTTGGACAGATATCCAATTCCAGCAAATTACTTATAGCATCACGGATTTCATTTTCTAATTTTGCAATTTCTTTATTCCAATTTTTACCTAGAAAATATGATATACACATTAACAATCGTTTACCATGAATAGCATATAAAACAAAAAGTTAAATATTTCAGACTTTATGGTATACTGAAAATGAAAGAATAAATTTAAAAGGCAGTCGTTCTTTGGACAAACTTATTCATTGCACTTAAAATGATGATCTAATGAGATTTGTCAAATGTAAATAAATTTTCTTGTGTATAATCTTGTTGCAAAATTACCAATTTTTATGTTAAATTCATTGCACTGGTTTACTCATATGCAAGTAATGTTCAAACTGTAAAATGTGTACATATCTGATGTGTGTAATCAATTGCACATGATGCATGTATAAAACATACATTGTGTACTTTGAATTACTGAAATCAGTTCATTATATATGTCCTTACAACATTTTTTTTTAACTGCACTATACACGCTTCTCACAGTGATGAATAGTAACTGTGAAAAACTCTTTTAAATTTATGGCTGATATGATACAGAAAAGTTAACATTCTGTAATATCCGTGATAATTTTAAAATTAATTTTAACCAATAATTTTGCAAAATCATTTACAATAAACAACAAGACATTTAAATACGACAATATTGTTCGTGATTAAAATAAGAAATTATGAAAAAGAAATGTGATTATATGGAATAATAGTAATGAACATTTACTGCATAAAAATTCTGACTTACCAGAAAATACAGACGAGAGATTGATCAAGAGGAATACGTTGATGTAAAGCAATAATGAAAGATTCATTTTCATGCTAATTACTCTTTCAACTATTGTGCTTTTATATCATTTATAAACACTATTGATTGGTCAGTGAAAAGTTGTACAATAAAAAAGTGATCTCTTTGAAAATAAATAAATAATTTCTATAGGTGAAAGCAAAGACCAATACTAACTCAGTGATCTGTCATATTTTTTATTGTTAGACTAAAGAAATTGATGCCAATCAACTAATTCACTGGTTGTCAATCATTACTGACGATATATGCAATTTACAGATTTACGAGTTATTCCGAAAGATTGAGGAAAATATCATGCCACGAAATCATTAAAATGCTCAGTAAATATGTCTTTGTAGTACAACATTGGAGTTGATTAAAAATACTGATCGTTTTTTCTGAGTGTCTCAATTAGACTTCTTAAATTATGTGCATTTGCGCACAAATTACAAAATGTTACAAAATGTTTACTGACAATAATTACAAACATGTGATGCTTTTCCATCAGATATAATGTATTCTAACATTCATTAGTTGAGCAACGAATGGTGACAAATCCTTCAACTTAAAAACAAATATTATATTTGGTGTTGAAACAATAAGTCAATTAAATAATACACCGAAATTCCTACTGGAAAACAAATCAAAAATATTTTTTTTAACACACGGTGTTAAGGTTTTTTAAAATCACATAATCAGAAAATTCGAAAGGCAGCTAAAAATAGGTGAATTCAGTTGATGTCGGTAGGTTATCAAATTTAGCTGACAGTTATTCGCTGTGCATTGTTTAAGGTTACTTCCAAGTGGCTTATTTTCTTGCTCGCAGCACAAATGAACAGTAATTATAGTTCAACCTATAGTAAATGACTTTGAATATCTGATTTGAAAGAGTATTTTTTATCTCTCGTAATCAACTTATGCTGAGTCAATAAGAAACGACTTCCGTAACGCTTTATTTGCTGTAATAAATTCCTCAGAAACACAGTTAGCGTGGTTGACTTGAACACTGTTTGTAGTATATGTCATTACTAAGTTTTATAATCTTCTGGCAGTTACGCCAATTTCATTCAAATGGTACCCAAGGAGAACCTATAAACTACCGTTGACAAAAGGGTTACTAATTTCCTTTCCAATAACCTAATTCTTTTCAAATTGTTGTTAAACTGAAAAATCTAATTCAGATAAAGCCACTGATGAATTCAAGTTTCAGTCAATTACAAATTTATTTATAAGGGGGACTTTTAGAAAGCTACAATGTATCATTTAATAACATTCAATTCTGAGACAATTCTCGATGTTCAAACTAACAAAATGAATTTCATGCGAATGATAAACGTACTCATATAATCACTATCATAATGAATGATATTTTCAAAGACTTATGAAATTATTTTATCAACATGTTCAAAATGAATCCTAATTTATTGACGTTTACTTCGATAAACAGAGTATTACGTTAAAGTTATCCATCATCGTTCAGTACATATATAAATATTAGATAAGTCACTAGTGGAATGTTGTGGGTTACAAAGTATTTTATCACTTACAGAAAAGAATAAATACCTGATGACATGCCATCAATAAATTGATAATGAGACATGAAAACCTCTGTATAATCTCAAACTTTTTATTGTATATTTGTTGAAGGCAAACTCAAACAGAAACATTGAATTTATCAAAAAAACTTGCATCGAAATATAAAAGAAAAAAACAACAGACAGGAGAACAAGTGAATCATTCAGAGAAGCTCGATTTCATTACTGGATAAATAACAAAATTCTGTGAAAAAAAAATAAATTTTTGATATTCAAAGATAGATAAAGGATTCTCTGAAAATCGATGTTGGAATGTAGTTTGGTGCTAACTGCAGCGTTTTTCTTTGCAATTACTTAACAATCAATAATCTTTTATAATATGACAGTTAAAAAGACTAAACCATTATACCTTATACTTTGAATTAGGCATTTTTTTTCAATCAAACATAGGAGTGTAGCTGTTGTGCATGTATTTAGAATTGTATTTTTGAAATGTTTAATAACTTATATGCCTGTCATATAACAATGCCTAATTTGAAAACAAATGAACATTATTTGACAAAAACAAGAATTGTCTCTGAATAGTATTGTGAATAGATT